CAGGGAGCTTCCCCACTCCCTACCCAGGTCCCTCATACATTCTTACATACTCACAGAGGTGCCCCCCAGCTCTGCTGTCAACCACTGGTTTACACTGAGTGTAAACTCAGTGACTGCTGTGTGCTAGGCTCTGGTCAATGCCCCACATCCTGCAGCTTGCCTACCAGAAACAGTAAGCACACGCATTTTGCAGAGAATGAAATGTACTGTGTTGAGTCAAAGTGAATTACACAGTGCTATGGGTGTCCCCAAGCCGGACTCAAAGCTCCAGGAGGCACCACTACCACCACCTTCACTCGCCTCCTGCCACCTCTGCTGTCACAGGCTCTACCTGATGCCCATGGTCTGTGGTCCTTGCTCAGGACTCAGCTCCTGGGCAGCTCTTCAGCCTTCTGAGGGAGCCCTGGCACCCAGCTGACTGTATACCTATCCACCTTCTTCCATGGCTGACCCACGTGTTTCCCCCACTTGTAAGTTTCCCGAAAACAGGAAACATTCTCACGTCCACACTCAGAATATCTTTATGAAAGTGCTTGATGTGAGGTGGATTCAAGAAAAACACATTGGTTACACCTTTAATCCCAGCACTCAAGAGGCAGAGGCAGGAGGATCTCTGTAAGTCTGAGGCCAGCCTTGTCTACACAGTGAGTTCTAGGACAGCCAAAGATACACAGGAAAACCCTGTATCAAACAAACAAACAGGCAAGCAAACAAAGAGAAAAAAAAGGAAAAAAAAAAGAAAGAAAACACACAACCTATGCTGGGGGTCCCCAAACCCCCAGCTTTGTGTCCCTCTCCTAGGAAAGGCTCTTTCCTCTTACCTCCATGAAGCAACTGGGCTGACACACAGACCTTCAAACACAAGCTGCAAGGTCCGGCTTGTTCTCCAGGTCCACCCGGCTCAGGATAGTGGGCAGAGACATGCACAACCACCGAGTTTCCCTAGACCCAGACGTCATTAGAGCGGTCATCCTTCATGGACACAGCATGGACTGGCAGTGGGAAGCCTCTCATCCATCTCTAAGGTGTACCTCCCACCTACCCATGTCCTCAATGTTCCCACTGCCCCACAGACCCCTCCACTACCCTTAAGCCCCAGGGTAGCTAATGTTCCTGCCTCACTATTCCTTGCTCAGATAAACCTGGTACAATGCACTGGAAAGTTCCCTCTTGTAGGACAGGACAAGTACCCTCTGGCTGCCCAGGGAAGGCTGCACTTGGCTGACTCTTCCAGCTCTCCTGTTCTTTATCATCATCTATGCACCATCTCCTATGCTCTTCTAGCCTGCAGAAAGCAGCATGGCCCACCTTCCAAAACCTTCCCACGACCTTCAGTCTCACCCACTCACAGGCAGGCAGGTTTTGGGATTCAGAGTACATGGAATACACACTGCCCCACTGTGCATTCCCCTTTCCTCTGGAGGGGCTGGGCTAACCTGACCTCAAACCACACTAGTAAACAGAGTTGTGAGGTAATGTCCAGAGCCAGGCAGCTCCTGTGTGCACCACTTAGCTCCCTGCTTCCATTCCCCACGCTCCCACCCTAGTACTTCCCTTCGCTGCAGGAAAGCGAAGCAGTCCTAAGCAAGGGTGAAGGCCAGAGCTCCACCACCAGAGTCTCCTGCCCCTCCTCTCCTCAGGCACTCTTCAGACTTGGCAAGGGTCTGCTGCCTATATCTTACTCTATGCCAACTGCTCCCTGACCACCTCAGCCAATGCCAGACTGGGACACAGTACCTCCTCCCATTCTTAGGTTTTCAGTACCCTGGAGCACTCCCCAGCAGCAGCAGCAGCCACGCTAGGCTAGCCAAGAACTGTGAGTCTTTCTGCACACTTGGCCCCCCTCCTCTGAGTGACATCTTTACACACCTGATTGGACTACATCTCACCAGTCCCTATCCTTGTGCCAAACATAGCTGCAGTCTCCAAAGCAAGCTGTCTACCCACTTAGCTCACCCCAGGATTCTCAGGCTCCAAACTAAAACCAAACCCCAAACTCCTCACCTTTCTAAAATGCCACCCATATCCCCTGCTGGGGTTCCTGGTGCCTGCAGCAACTCCAGGGTTACACCATCTCCCCTGGAGGTTCCCAGCCATTTCCTTCAAGGCATATTCAACTATAAACATACAAGTATGAGGCTTTTGACTGGCGATGTGGTGGCTCAGTTGGTAGAGAGCTTGCCTAGCATGCACAAAACCCTAGGTTTAATTTGCTGCACTTCCCAAACTGGGTATGGTGGTGCATGTCTCTAGTGCCAGCACTGAGTGGGCAGACACAGGAGGATCAACAGTTCATCAAAGTTTTCTTCAGCCAATCATCAAATCCGAGGCAGCTTGGGATACATGAGACATGTCTCAAAGAAAGGGAATTTTTTCTTCTCTAATGCAAGATTTTATTTTTTTTTTTTTCTTTTGTTTTTGTTATTCAATACAAGCTTTTGTTTTATTCAGTTTTTCCTCTGTGCAATCCTGGATGTTCTGGAACTGGAGATCAGGCTGTCAGAGATCTGCCTGCTTCTACTCCTGAGTGCTGGGATTAAAGGTGTGCACTACCACCACCCAGCTAAAAGATTTTGTATTATTATTATTATTATTATTGAGCTAAGGACCAAACCAAAGGCCTTGCACTTGTTAGGCAAGTGTTCTACCACTGAGCTAAATTCCCAACACCAAAAGATTTTATTTTTAAGATCTGTTTTTATTAGCATGATGGGTGCACAGCTTTAATCCAGCACTCAGGAGGCAAGTAAATCTCAGTGAATTTGAGGACACCCTGGTCTATGTAGTGAGTTGGAGGCCAGCCAGGGCTATGTAGAAACCCTGTGTCCAAAAAAAAAAGTGCTTTGTTTGCATGTATGCACACATGTGCAGTACTAATGGAGGCCAGAAGAGGGCACTGGATCCTCTGGAACTTAAGCTATAGAAAGTTGTGAGCCACCATGTGGGTGCCAAGAACTGAATATGGGTCCTCTGCAAGATCAGCATGATCTTAAACACTGAGCCATCTCTCTGCTCCCTTACTTTTATTTAAAAAGATTTATTCTATATGTGTGAGTACTTTGCCTGCATGTATGTTTGTGTGCCATGTGCATGCCACGCACATAGAGGCCAAAGAGGGCATCAGAGCCCCTGGAATTGGAGTTACAGATGGTTGTGAGCCCCAAAATCTAGAGCTTCTGGTTCTTAACCTGAGCCTTCTCCAGACCTAACCCTTATATTTATTTATTTTTTTAATGTACATTAACATTTTGCCTGCATGTATGTTTGTATGACAGTGTTGAATCCCCTGGACCCACAGTTACAGACAGTTGTGAGCTGCCATGTGGGTGCTGGGAATTGAACCTGGCTCCTCTGGAAGAGCAGTCAGTATTCTCAACCACAGATCCACCTCTCCAGCTCCCAGCCCTTATTTTTTAATTACATGTATATGTATGCATCCGTGTGGCTATGTGCTCCTGTGCCCCCTAAGTAAGGTGCCCACAGATAGAGAGACGATTGCTCCAGCCCAAGATATGTTTTTTTTTTTTTAAATGTGACTGCACAGCTTTCCAGTCATATATGACTGGATAACATATAAGCTTCCATATATGACAGATAACGTATGTCACAAAGTGGCGGTTTGCATGAAAATGGCCCCCATAGGCCCAAAGGCAGTGGCACTATTAGGATATGAAGCCTTGTTGGAGCTCTATGGCCTTCTTGGAGAAAGTGTCACTGTGGATGATGGGCTTTGAGGTTTCAGAAGCTAGTCAGGCCCAGTGTCTCTTCTCTTCCTGTTGCCTGCCAATCCAGCTGTAGAACTCTCGGCTCCTTCTCCAGCACCATGTCTGCCTGCACACCACCATGCTTCCCACCACAATGATAATAAACTAAACCTCTGAACTGTAAGCCAGCCCCAATAAATGTTTCCCTTTCTAAGAGCTGTCGTGGTCATGGTGCCTTTTCACAACAGAAACCCTAACCCAATGCACAGCTGGACATGCTTGTGTGTAACAAAAAGCATCATCATCCCCCATTAATTTCTTAATTACAATCCACTGACTAATGCTGTTTTTTTCCTGTATGCTGTGGTCACAAATACACAGCCATTGCCTGGGAAACAAATAAGCTATTAGACCAGTGGTTCTTAACCTGTGGGTCGCAACACCTTTGGGGCTGGATAACCCTTTCACAGGAATCACTTAAGACCATCAGAAAACACAGGTATTATATTATAATTCTAACAGTAAAATTAGTTATAATTTTATGGATAGGGTCACCACAACATGAACGCTATTAAAGGGCAACATCATTAGGAAGGTTGAGCACCACTGCTCTAGACTACGATGCATTATTATACCTGTTTTTTGGACCGAGAAACTGAAGTTCCTAGAGGTGAAGTCAAGCATCACGGATTTCCTCCATTGTAAACAGTTGGCCTTCAGTTTGAACTCCGGTGTGCTGGACTCCACAACAAGGCTTTGGGCAACCAAGGGTGTCCAGAGGAAGAGCAAAGGCACTGGGCTGAGGCTCTCTTCCTGCCTCTGTGCACAGCCTCCAGGGCCAGTAGAAAGGCTTATTCTCAGGAGAGCATGGTGGCTAAGGAGTCCACGTACAGCCATCCTCGGCCTTAGCACCAATGGATCAGAAGGTGAGCTCAGGAGAAAGGGCTAACTAAGAACTACAGGTAGGGCTGACAGGAGTCCAGAGCAGCTGCAGGAGGTGCACGCTGCTACAATGACAGCACAGCATGTGTTGTGTGCCAGGCTGCATCTCTGGCTCATCAGAGCCACATGTGATTGCACCCATCTTCTAGATGAAGGGGTTGGGGTTCAGAGCAGCTCAGAGACCTACCTACAACCTTGTCATTGGGAGCGAACAGAGGGATAGCTGGGATTTGAACCCCCTGTCTGCTTGAATCTCTGTCACACATTCCATTCTCAGAAAGTCAGCCGGTGGGGAGGAGACCTGCTAGGGAATAGTCACGCAGACATGTCAGGAAAAGATGTCTCACACGGGGACAGGTGTAAAACAGAGGCTTTAATCCAAACAGCAAGGGAGGTGCAGGACTAGGGGAAGGAGCCAGGAAGGCGATGGCCTGGCCCTGGAAGGGAGGCTGGCACTGGGCCTTTCCTAGGACACTGCTTGTGACACTGATGACTTGAGCCCCAGCTCTGCTCAGATCATCACTAAGCCCTGGCCAAGCCCCTGGGTTGTGCTCCTCAGTGTCCACTCCCCAAGGGGTCTATGGACATAGACACAGGATGGGCAGTGCAGAACAGGGTGAGTATGGCAGGGAAGCCTACAGGTACCAGTTCAGTCACAGCGCTCAGAGAAACTGGTGACTGTGACTAGGTCCCCTTCTGCAGTCCATATCCAGGGCACTGCTTGCCTCTTCTCATAAGGGGAGAGGGAGAAAGAGAGGGCTGCTGCCTCCCCTGACATCTCACGCCAGCCACAGACCTACCCAAGCAAGCAGAGCAGTAAGCAAGGGCCTCAGGTGAAGCTCAAGATCAAAGCAGAAAGGAGGTAGCAGAACTGATCAGGTCTAAGAGTGACTGGAGGAGGCCAGATTCTCACAAACACAGCAGCCCTAGTCTCCCTGAGTCTCTACCATTCTCTCCCTGACAGAGACAGTTCTGGAAAGAGGTCTCACCCAATCAACAGGCTTTCCCAGGAGCCTGGAGCAGTTTCCATAGCTAAGCTACCCCCAGGAAGGGATATGTTACTAATCGTCACGAAACCCGGCAAATCCAAGGGCCAGGGAACAAAAGCCAGAATGAGGATGGGCACAGGTAACCTAGAAGGCTACCCTGAGAAAGCCATCCTCATCATCCATAGCCCCTCTACCCACCATCTCCCCAATCCCAAGCCTCCCCACAGCTGCTGACAGCCTCACCCTTCAGCCCCACAGCAGATACCCAGTGGAACACAGCTCGGGAAGCTGACCAGCCAGCCCCCGAAGGCGCAGTGTCCCCTCTCTCAATGAGGAGTCTGTCATGGGAAGGGAAAGCAATGGGAAGAGCAGGATGCCCTTTCTCCACATTGGACTGGGCGGAGAGAAAGGAAGCAGGAAGGACAGGGGTAGGCAGGGGCCCCGGGACCAGGTCCCAGCCCCTCTCTTCTTGCTTGCCCACCAGACGAACAGTCAAAGACTGGCCACACTTTGGTCAATTCCTCCAACTCAGGCCCTGTTCAGCACCCATCTCAGTAAACAGCCTCTCATCAAACAGAATGAACAAAGGTGGGTGGGAGGGGTGCCGGGACAGAGGGCACAGGAGAACTGGCCAGGGTGGCTCTGGTGGCTCAGCCTCTCCTAGCCTGATGTGACAGGATGGATGGGCAGCAGGCTCCCGAACTTGAAGTGTTGGATCACAGGGAACTTCTCCAGGCACTGAGAAAGGAGGGGGAGACCAGGAGGTGAGGCCTGGCTGGTCTCTTGCATCCCCAGGGACCCAGACAAACATGAAGGCTCAAACTATGGGGTATCCATTAATGCTCAAGAAGCCACCCAGTCAGAGCAGCCCCTGGCCTATACACAGAAGGATGACACTTTTTCATCCTGTCCTTATTCTTCCCCTCCAAAGATACACACAGTAGAAGTCAAGACAGGCATCTGAGAGATATTACTTGACCCAGAGGGGAAGCTGGCCATAAGAAATAGAAAAGATCCTCCCACAACCCCCATCCCAGTCCTGGCCCTTAGAGGTGTGGGGTCATCTGAGCACAGCTGAGGAGGTTAGACCCTATTTTCTGTAGTCTTTGGGAGTCTGGCTTGAAAAGACATCTTCACTCTTAGAATGAGACCTGATTGATACCCCTGTCCCACCTTGGCAGCAGCCTCTGTGGAGGTCAGGGCAAAGGCATTGAAGGTAGGCAAAGGGATGGGGACTCCCTGAGCCCAGTTCAGACTTGTGGTAAGAAGTGAAGACACACAGGCAGCCTGACCCCAGGCTCATATCCCTATATACCTAGCCTGCCACAGGCTGTCACAGTAGCCCCAGCTATACCTACCAGGCTGGTAGGTCTACACTTTGGCCTCAGAAACAACCCTCTGTGCGCTAGGGACCTCTAGGTTGTTGGAGAATAAGACTTAAAGACTCATAGGAGGTAAGGGCTTCTGTCTGTGGTCAAAGGAGTAACCTGATTGGCTCACCTTCCCTTACCCAGAAAGCAGCTTCAGAACTGAAAGGAGCGCATATAGGACAAGTAGGACAGAGACTGAACTCCAATATGGAGTCAGGCCTGAGCCAAGACAGTGGGGAGAAGGGAAGTGCAGCCTGTCCCTGGGGGAGGAGCAACAAGTCCAGGCCTGAGGCAAGGCAGCTGCCACGGTGCTTAAGTCATCAGGAAGTGGTGGGAGTTTAGAAGTCACCCCCCCCCCTTCAGGGCCTGGAATTCCAGAAAGGGTCAAAGGTCAACCTGCCTCAAGCTCTCAAAGAAGAGAAGCCAGAAAGGCAAGTGGGGGAAGGGCAGAAATAGTCGCCTTCTGTCCAGAGGACTGCAGAACCTGAGCTGGAAAGAAGCTATAGGGCTAGAGGAAGGACAAGAAACCAGGGCAGGGAAGCATCTAAAGAGGGCCTTTCTTCCAGCAATACTGGCCAACTACTGTGCCTGGGCTGTGAAGTCTACCACCTCCTGACCCCAGGAGTCCAGGCTGGGTGGTCTGTGATTCAAGAAGAGGTAGGACTCTCCAGGTACAGTGGCAGCCTTCAGGACAGAAAGACCACCAGCATACAAGGCCCAATAAGCCCAATACCTCTCTTAAAAGAAAAAAGAAAAAGAAAATAACCACTCCAGGCAACTAACTGTCTAATGCCAAGTCTGAGCAGGCCTCTGTTGGCAGCTCAGGGCGCCACAGCCTTGTACTTTAAGTCTAGTGAGCCTCTGAAAAGTAGGTCCTTTCCTGGGCCCTCTGGGCAGCGGCTTACAGCCCCCATTCTCAGGGACCAGAGATAAAAGCACCAATAAGAACTGGCTGGAGAGATGGCTCAGTGGTTAAGAGCACTGACTGCTCTTCCAGAGGACCCGGGGTTCAATTCCCAGTACCCACATGGCAGCTCACAACTGTCTGAAGATCCAGTTGCAGGGGATCTGACACCTTCGCACCAATGCACAAAAAATAAAGTTAAATAAAGCATAAATTATAAAAAATAAAAAAAAAAACTGGTGGCGCACACCTTTAATCCTAGAACTGGGGAGGCAGAGGCAGGTGGAACTCAGTGAGTTCAAGGTCAGCCTGGTCTACAGAGCGAGTTCTAGGACAGTCAGAACTGTTACACAGAGAAACCCTGTCTCAGAAAAACAAAAAAGAACTGGGTACTCTGGGGCAGTGGTGGCATACACCTTTAATCCCAGAACTGGGAGGCAGAAGTAGGAGAATCTCTGAGGTCTAAAGAGCGTTTCCCAGGACACCCAGGGCTACACAGAGAAACCCTGTCTTAATCCCTGCTCCCCCCCCCCCAAAAAAAAATCACCAAAAAGAAGTGGGTCCTACAAAGCCTTGAGATCCTCATTGGATCCTCATTCAGCAAGCTGTGAATTACACTACAAATCCAGTCTTGGCATAGGGGCCTGAGCCAGCTCCCACTTGCAGCGTACACCAGGTGAAACTCCAGTCTTCAGTCCCACTGACCTTTCATTAACAACTACAGACACCTAGCAGCCCCTTACAACTTATAGCTCCGGTCAAGGCTGCCAAGGCCTGTTGTCCTGCCCTCCTCTTGTTTCTCTTGGCTCCTCCCTCAGCTTGCAGATCTGCCTGGTTCTGGCCCTCCCCTTGGGAGCTGAATTAACACAGGTCTGAAGACACACAAAGCCAGCATTTGGGATTCTAAGCAAGGAGGCAGCTGGAGTTCTATCTTTGATATGAGGAAAGCTATACACACCCTCCATGCTGACACTTCCCCAGCAGTGGAGTGACCAGCAGCAGGGCGGTCTTTTCTGTATTTCCTACAGGGAATCAGAGAAGTAAGGTTGTGGAGATAGGACAAAGGGTAGTGCCCAGTGCTGGAGCTGACATGCTGAACAGGAAGAAGTCTGGGCAGCTCCAGGAATGATCTCCCAGATGAGAGGCATGTGGGCTGAAGCCTAAACATAGGATGTGCCGTCTAAAGAAAGAGGGTCAAAGAGGGAAGAACAGAAGAAAGCTGCCTAGACCCAGACCTGGTCAGACCATGTTCTAACCAGGTTCTAACACTCTTTTGTTGTTGTTGTTTGTTTTTTCGAGACAGGGTTTCTCTGTAGCTTTGGAGCCTATCCTGGAACTAGATCTGTAGACCAGGCTGGCCTCAAATTCACAGAGATCCGCTTGCCTCTGCCTCCCGAGTGCTGGGATTAAAGGTGTGTACCACCATGGCCCAGATCAGACCATGTTCTATTAACCCCTTCAGGACCAATCCAAGGGTGTCAGGCCAGTGGGAAACATTTACACTACAAATCTGGCCTGGCTAGCCTCTAGACCCTTCCCCGTTGTCCTGTCTCTGATGGATGGGGTGAGCTCTGAGTTCAATGAGCTGAATTTACAGAAGAGAAGGGATGATGTCAAGAATCAGAGATGGGCAGCTGCAGGACAATACCTGAGGCTGTTAGAGAGGGGGAGGGGGAGAAGGGGTTACACAAGACAAGTATTTCCAATGATTAGAATGCTTGAGCTGTGGGAGGAGCCACTGGAGACAGGTAGAAGGTGTCCTCTCTGCCTTTTTGTGGAGGAAAGTGTGGGAGGCACTAGGAAGGGCAGGCACCTTTCAGCAGGGAAAGTATCCCAGCAGCAGATTTGTGAGCCGAGAGCAGGGGGATACGCCTATATCCTTCCCACTAAAGAATGCCAATGACTACCCGACTCTACCTCTTCCCAGTTACCTCCTATAGTAGGACAGCTTGCTTTGGGTAGCTCTAGGATCACACCCATCCTACGTCACTTTGGGAGAGATACTCAGGTTACCAGAGCTTTGAGGGGCTTCGGGCCATTTGACAGGTAGAAAGAGAGTCCCCAACTTCCCTAGCAGCAGGGGCCATTTCAATCCCTAAGCTATGCAAGGCTGAGGCAGGTTTCTGCTCAGTGCCTTGAGACTGCCCATTAGGTTCTGAGGTCCCCAAGTTCAGAGAGAACTAGCAGTCCTGAACTCACCCCAGGACTAAGGGACAGCAGGGGCAGGCGTGATGGCCAGACCCCACTCACCTCTGCCTTATACATGCGGATGAGGCCCTGGTTCACTTTGGACCATGAGGGGACAGCACTGATGTTCCACAGCTGGTTGGAGTGCTCTGCAAAGGGGCCGGTCTTCATCTGGAAAAGAAAGTCCAGGACTAGAGAAGCAGAAAGCAGAGGCTGCCCGGGGGTCTGCCCCTGCTCTCCTGCAGCAAGGACACACATAAGATGGGGGGGGGGGGGAGGCAGGTACACTGATAAGGGAAGGGGGCTTGGCCTATAACTGCTGAAAAAACTGGAACCTCTCTCACCCACATCCTCCACTTACCTTTCTTTCCCTCAGACTGTAAAACTGAGGCTCCATTCCCAATACCTATCAAGTTTTGCAACCCTAGGAAGACAAAATCTCCACCCTGAGAGAGTAAGATGTGTTTCCACTCAGACAGCAGCCAGGTTTCCTTCCCCACACTGTACAGTGCCAGGCAGGCCTCAGAGGGTGGGAAAGGGGCTGTGGAGGGCCTGCTGAGAGGCTCTACAAAGTAGACAGGAAAGAGGCTACAGCTCCAGAGCAGCACAGGTCAAGAGGAGGGCAGACAGACGCAGAGCGACAAGGTCAGCAGGAACACGGAGTCCATCTCTGTGGTCCTTCTTGTTCAAGAACCTGACCCCAGGAAGGCAGAGAAGCACTGAAGCCAGTCCAGAGCAGTTCCTGTGACATCAGATCCACAGCACCAGGAAAGGGAAGCCTGTGTCCTGAGTGGAGTCTGCCACTGAGAGTGTAGCTTAGCCTGCCCTCCTCACTGCCTTCCCAGTTTACAGGCAGCATTTATGTTGGGAACAGGGCTCAGCATGCAGTCCCAGGCTACAGAGAAAGACTCTAAAAAGCGAAGCGACTAAGTTTGGCAAGAAGCAGAGACCTGGACTTTAGTGAGTGGAAGGTTCCAGAACATTCATGGAAGGCTCCACATGGAAGGGGTGAGGTACAGGGTAGTCCAAGCAGAAAGGATAATCCCAAACATTCTTCGTAATGGGACATCACAGGTTACTTTAGTGCCAGTCCACTCCCCCAGGTCTCTACCTCAGTAAGAGCAACTTCTAGATTTAAATTAGAAACACTGCCATTTTCCCCATTTCTCCCTCCCCTGGCAAAAGTCCCCAGTGAGAGTCTGTCTCAAGGGTCCCTCCCCAGCGGTGAGGTCACCAGCCAGCCCTACTCTCTGCCAGGCATTTGTGGAGTTTCCTTGACCAGGAACAATGTTTACAGGGCCCTGAACTTCCTGAGATTTACCCCAACTCTCCAGCAAAGACTCCCCCTTCGGTCTCTCCAGTCCTCCACCCTCATCTTGCACACCTGCAAGCCAGAGACATCAGACTGGGGGGGGGGGCCTGTGGACCAGGGTGCCAACTGCCAAGTCTCACAGCAGGTGCTCAAGGCCTGCTCAGCCAGGGCTCTGGAGCAAGACAGACAGAGGGATACTGAGTCCTGCCTGGGTGACCAGCCTCACTCACCAGCAAGGGACACTCAGAAAAGGATGTCTACCAGGCTGCAAGAGTTGTGAGGCCCAGCACATCTCTAGAGAGGCACCCCACCCCCAGGCATTCAGTGAGAGCCTCAGGTCTCACAAGTCCTTCAGAAGGAGGCTCTGCAACTCAGAGAAAGAAAAAAATGGATGAGAGGGAAAAAGGAGTCGGGGGTGAGAAGACAAAAAAAAAAAAAATTAGCTCATTCTAGCCACAAAGGGAGAAGAGAAAGAGCGAGAACAAGCAAGCAACTGCAGTCCCGCAGTGACCCCCGGGGAATCGTGTGAGTCAGAGCAGCCATATTGAGCAGGAAATTACTCACAGACGCTGCGTTCCTGCCTCTCCACTCCCCAGAGAATCGGCCTTTTGTAAATGGTTCCTCTGTCAGTAACTGAGGGGGATGGGTGGGGTGGGGGAGGCTCAGCACAGCGCCTTCCTGTCAGCTTCTTCCCTTCCAGCTGAAATCTGATCCCTCCCTTCCCAAAACTCCAAATTTAGAAGCCAGATTGAAACTGAAATTCTTTTCCTGCCTGCCCTGGACTCTTAAAGGCGCCAGGGCTTCATTTCCTGAAGCAGTATGAGCCCTGCAAGGTGGGCTTCCTCTGCCGCCATGCCCAGAGCTATCAAAGCAGGCCCAGCAAAGAGAAATGGTTTCCTTCCCAACTTCCTTACATTTATTTGACCAGTAGATATTGCAGATCTACAGAGGCAACAGAGCCCTGAACACCTCCTAGACTTCCAGGATGCTGTACCCCAGGGTCTGGTGGTCCTAATCAAGCCACTCACGCCCTCACTGATCACGCAGCTGAGCACTCCTCTCAAGTGCACGGGGCAGGCGGGGGAATATCTGTGAAGAGCAGGGTGCTGCAACAGCAACCAGACAACCTAGCAAAGGCAAAAGGGTCCATGGCTACCACAGTGCCTAGCAATCAACCAGAGTCTGACCCAAGAGCCTCGAACCAAGAGAAAACCAAGCCTCGCAGAGAAGGTGCACAACAGCCAAAGAGCTTCCCCTCCCACTTCCTACCTCTGTTCCTGAAGCCACCCGAGTTCAATGCACTTTTAGCGCCACCTCGTGGCCACTTTGGGCTACCTTCTACAGCGTCCTCTCTCCCAAACTTTGGGAAAGCTTTTGAGGTTTTATACCAGCAGAAACAAACAAACACACTAAGTCTTAGCATGGGATCGATTGCCAGTCCCCAAAGCCCATCCTGGCTAGTCTCCTTGTTAGAATTATTGACAAGGACGCAAGGGGCTTGGCAGGCCGCCAAGGGAAGCAGAGCAGCTTAGGCTTTTGGACACAAGCAGCAAGCTCTGCAGAATGTGTGGTTTTTCCCCATCTAGTTCTTCCACCTCATCCTAAAGCTCCCAACCCTACACTTCACTCTTAAGGAGTCCTGCAAAGCTGGTTTTCAAGGCAGTGAGTTAGGCTGCCCCCAAGTCCTCCTGACCTTGAGCCTGCCACTCTGCTGAAGGCAGCACATCTCCAAGAACCAAGTAACGGCCATTCAGCCATCACTCCAGGCTCCATTTGCTGACTTGGAAAAAATGTGTCATTCCCCTCTGGCCCCTGGAGCTTGGCAGAAGCCTGAGGTGAATGCTGACCAGAAGAAACTTAAAGAGTCGAGACTGCTAATCAGGCTCTTCCCTACTCAGAAGCTAGGACCAGGAAGCCAAGAGTAGCGTCCATGGGCAGGAGTTGTTGTGTGTACTTCCACAGAGCAGACAGCAGGTGGCCACAGGAAGAGAAGGAAGACAGGACTTTGTAAATTTAGGATGAGAGTTTACAGGTATAGGTGGAAGAATGAAAAGTTCCAACAACTCTAAGAAGCAAGGCCCTGACACTGTGGGTACCTCGATGAGCCAGAAAGCTGGCATAGACCCAAGGCTGTGAATGTTCAAGGTCCCGGGGCCACCTTGGGAATGTTACAGCACCACACCATAGGGAATTCTGCCTTAGTGAAACAAGGGCTTCCTTCCAGTTACGGAATCTGCCAGGTGGTATGGAGCCCAGGGACTGTCACCACAGGCACACTGCTGAAGCACAAACACAGCTAACTACTCCCATCACTCCAGCTTGTCTAGGGATTCCAGCCTGAGTCCACAGCACATGGCTCTACAGACTCATTGGTGGACTGATGGACGATGCCTGCCATCCTTTCAGGCCTTTTGCAGGTCATCAAGTCTAGCTAATACCTACAACTTTAATCCATCAGCTCAAGAGCCCTTTGGGAACTGAGTGTGCTATTTATTTTGTAATCCTCAGCAGTCAGTAGGTTGAGGCAGGAAGATTGTTGTGAATTTTAAGACCAGCTTGGGGGCAGCAGAGTGCAGCTCTAACTCAAACCAAACAATGAAAGAGTCCTTCCGGGTCTGGGAGAAGGCTGGCAGCTGGGCAAGCAGGCCCTGGTAGCCGAGACAGGCTAACAGAGGCTGCTGTGGCTCTCACCTCAGTGATGAACAGGATGCACTGGAGGAACATGTAGTCCTTGTGGTTCTCACTCACCGCCTTCTCATCCACAAAATGTCTGGGCTCCAGGTGGGGGTGGTCTGGGGAGAGCAGAGGCCTCTGATTGAGCCTGAGCACTAGGTGCCCACCACACACAGATAAACAACCCCTGTGATGGTGTGCTGGGGCAGAGCTGTGGTGGAGTGCTTGCCTAGTACATAAAGATCTTACCGTGAGCCCAGTGGTGGCACACACTTTTAATCCCAGCACTCTGGAGGCAGAGGCAGGTGGATCTCTGTGTGTTCAAGGCTAGCCTGGTCTATAAGAACTAGTTCAAGGACAGGCTCCAAAGCTACAGAGAAACCCTGTGTCAAAAAACAAACAAACGAACAAAAGATCTTAATGGTCTTAATAGGACTCAGAAATCCCTGCCACCTAGTGAGGTGCCCACTGCACACAGCCAGCCACCATGCACGTACCTGTGGTGACACTGGTGCACACAAACCTGCTGTGCTACCAATCAGCGGAGGTTGAATGCTGTGTACCCACTTAACCATGACAATTCTGTTCCTAGTTTGTCAGTACCAGCCTCTGCTTTTTAAGCACCATTAGCATGCACATCTCCCTTAAAAGTTACCTCAGCTGGGTATGGTAGTATACACCTTTAGTCCCAGCACTCAGAGACAGGTGAGTTCTTGACTAGCCAGGAAAAAAAAAAGTATCCACAGTTGAGTTAACAGTACATACTCACTGTGTTAAGAAGCACACACTATAGTACTCATGCAATAAAACCATGCAATAAAACCATGCAGGAATGTGTCCTAGCAAACCAAACTCATCTCAGCACATGGCAGTAAGACCTTAGATGGATGACTCCAGCCTTCTGCATCTACATAACAAGACTAGAATAGCATGCCCTGTCAGATGCTAAGGCCACACTAGGTATGGAGCCTGCCCTTAAATCTTCCTGGCGTCCCTGAGAAGAGTGTGGTAGAGGTATCTAAAATGGCAAGTTCTCAGGCATTAGGCATTTGTGAGTGAGTATTGATTCGTGGCAACTCATTCTCCATAAAACTAAAGATGATCATTAACTCCACCCAATGGTGGATCCCAAGATACTGACATGCCTGGATAATCATTTCAAAGTGAGGAGCATGGCAGAGCAGACCTGGGAAGCACACAGGAAACAGCATTTGGCAGCAACTTCCCATATGCCCACTGCATAGAGTTCCATAACAACAGTGGATGAGATGGATGATTGCCAAATCAAAAGAGGCCCTAATTTTCAACTTAAACTCCACAGCTGTTGCAGGGAATGCATGCATTCACACCAGTCCATTATGCACCAGGCACGTGCCCTGCTTCAGTCTATGTCACTATCCATGATTCTGGTGGTACTCCACCTTCATATCCTCCAGCTGGTCACATGGCTAAAAGCACTAAGTCAACAGCAAATCAGCCTCCATCAATAGCAGAGCTAATGTCCTGCTCTACAAGCTGTCATTATGTGCACTGGGCAGGAGGAAGGAAAAGGAAGGACTTGGGGTTCAAGGTAGAGAGGCATGACCATCTACTAGTACCTATGAGCTGTGAGCTGCCCCAGATGAAGGGCAGGAACTGGAAGTCATCCAGACCCCACACACCCTGGCTGCCTGCAGGTTCCATCCTGTATGTCTTCTGCAACTTCCGCATAACCTCAAGGTACCTGTGCCGGGGTGAGGGGGAGCAGGGAGAAAAGAGAGACAGGTAAGACATGGTGCACTTCAGCACAGGAAGGGTAGGGACAGTGGTGAGGCAGGAAGAGCCAACAGAGCTTTTTCTTTCCCTCATACTTCTGTCAGGGAAAGACAAAAAAACCCACACACCAGGCTTAGTGTCATCAACCCTGAAAACTTGCAAGACCTTAGTCAGAAGTCCTTTTCTCTAACCTCAGGCACCACTGGAAAGTAAGTGAAATCCAAGAAGTCAGGTATCAGAAGCTTTGTTTCTAGGTAACTTGCATGGCTATACTTTGCCTCAACACCAGCACACCAGTATGCCCCTGGGACCCCTGCAGCTCAGAACAGGGCTCTGTACTGTTGTGGAGTATTTGTTAGCTATGCAATGATGTACTGCATTTGTTTAACTATGTAAAGAGATGTTGCATTTGTTTGTGTTGTGCAATATTTGTTTAACAATGTAAAGAAGTGTTGCTGTTTTACCTTGCCTGCCTAAGGTACCTGGTTGGTCTAATAAAAAGCTGAATGGCCAATAGTGAGGAAGGAGATATAGGTGGGACTTTGGGGCAGGGAGAGTTAAGTGGAAGGAGAAATTTAGGCTCAATAAGAAAGAAAATGAGATGCCAGAGGCCAGCAAGACATGGAAGAAGCAGGAAAGTAGGACATACAAAATGAAAGTGAAAAGGCCCAAGGTAAAACATAGACTAGAAATAGGTTAAATTAAGTTAAAAGACCTAGTGGGACAAGCCTAGGTTAAGGACGAACACTCATAATAAGCTAAGTCTCTGTGTCTGTATTTGGGAGCTGGTTGGTGACCTAGAGAAAATTCCAACTGCACTACACACTTGTGCTGCCCAGAAGAATCTACCTCCTACCTTTGGTGGGCTGTGACCTCAGCAGAGACCTGTCTGATTCCTCTTCTATGAGAGGGAGGCAGCTGCTACATCACAGAGAGCTGCCTCAGAACAGTGCTTCCACATGGTGAGCACCAGGTATGGGGAACACTATCTCTTCCCGCCAAGTCAACTCTCACCTATCAAACACCTTGAAGACAATAGCCACTTGGTCGTCCACCCGGAGCACCCCGATCTTGCAGAGACAACAGAGGAAAGCAGCAAAGGCAGCCTCATGCCCTGGGGAAGAAACACAGCTCAAGCTGACATCTTGCAGTAGAAGTCCCCATCATCCAGCTCAGTTGAGGAGGAAGGCCGCCCCCTGTCCCAAAGCCCTGGGCCTTTCACCAGCCACAAGCACTGGCGCTTGTCCTGATGGGCCTCGGTGTCAATCCTGCACAGGTACTTGCATCTTACTTTATGGGTTTGACACCTTAGCAACCCACGCTTATTGAGCACCTACTATGTGGGCAGTCACTGTCCATGCTGGGTGCCAGTGACAAAGGAGTTCTTGCCTCAAAGAGCTCATGGTCTGTCAGAAACCACAGACATTAAATATACAGTTACTACTGTGAGTCTAGCTATGCAGGAGTCAGGTGGGTACCTGAAGCACATCCCAGGGGGAACCCTGATTTCAGAGTTCAAGGTTTTCCCCTAAGGAAATGTTTGGAATAAAAGAGGAATGGGTAACAAATAGCTGGGGAAAAGGCACAGTAGGAAACAGGCAGGAGCAACAGCACATGCAAAGGCCCAAGGCAAGTAAGCAGTGTGTCCTTAGCAGAGGACAGGGAAAGCCTCTCACCAGAATAGCCATGGTAAGAAGCTTGGACAGGGTCCCATGAGCACTGGGAACATGTGGACAGATTACAAGGCTAAGGTCCCTCTTTTCTCTCCCTTTCACACCCACCAGCAACAGTTAGTTCTGTAAAAGGCACTGGCTGGATCTTGGCCCCATTCTTATGTGCTAAGAATCTGGAAGTAGGTGAACCAGCTGTTTCCGGCCAGAATCTAGAAGCACATATGCTCAATTACTCTCACCTACAAATTTCCAGACGAACCCACTGCCCTAGAAATCTTTTCCTAGCCAAGCACTGGTGGCACACGCCTTCAGTCCCAGTACTTGGGAGGCGGAGTCAGGTGGATCTTTGAATTTGAGCTTAGCCTGGTCTACGAGTGAGGTGCAGGACAGCCAGGGCTATACAGAGAAACCCTGTAATGGGATTTTTTTTTTCCCTAGTTGGGTTTATTTGCGGGGGGAGGGGTTGAAACAGGGTTTCTCTGTGTAGCCCTGGCTGTCCTGGAACTCACTCTGTAGACCAAGCTGGCCTCGAACTCACAGAGTTCCGCCTGCCTCCGCCTCCACCTCCTCCTACGTGGGTTTTAACTAAAACTGTCCACATCCAGGGTCTCGGAACTGCTCCCAGCAACAAGGTGAGCCAAGGATGAAGTTCTCCCAGGTTCTGGCTCCAGAGAAATGTTCTCCAGGGCCTGCTCTGAATCAGGCTCCCTCTGGTACTCCCTTCCCAACCAAGTGGGAGGCAACATAGCTCTCACATGCCGGCTTTAGGGGAGAGAACAAAGGTAGCCTGTACCACAGCAGGGGTCATCCCTGACCTAGAGAACACTATCTAAGGTACCCACAACAGTCTGGCTGAAATGGATAACAGAACCAAAACCCGGCAGCACAAAGAAAAGGGTTAAGAGACAAGAGATGGCAGAGAGAGTGGACTTCTACAGGCAGCTACCTTGAGTACGTGCTCAATAAACCGCTACTAGAATGAAGAGCTTAATCAGATGCCAGCTCCACAAAGAAGTCTCAGTAGGTGCCATTGCCTGTGGCAGTAGCGCCATCTGGTGGAATAAAATTGAGCACAGCACCCGCCCACCCCCACCTCCTGGACAGACACAGACACATGGGGACACGGACACACACATACGTGGAACACGAAGAAAGCAGCCAGTCAACATACAGAAAGCAGCAAGGCCCAAGTCACTCAAAGCCATCAGCAGCAGATACCTGTGCCATAGTCAATGCGTGTGGAGTTTCCCACAGCCTCCTTCAAGTAAACTGCCACTTCAGGTACAGCAGCCGCCAGGTGGGTGGGGACCACTGAGGCCACCAAGTTCTCTGCTTCCTGATAATATAAGAGACATACAGTGGTGGCAGTAGATTAGGCAGTATCTGAGGAGCAGGCACCCAGGGGCAGCATCTGCTAGCCTGGCCTGCTTCCCAGTTCTGACCAGCCAGAGAAATGGGGAGGGGGCATAACAGGGTGACACCCGGGAGTGACACTGGGAGCAAGACAAAAGATCAAGTCTCCTATGTGGTAGTTCACCAAAGGCCCGGAGAGATTATGGGCCATCAAGTCTTTGTGTCCCTAGTTGTTGGTTCTATTCCCAAGCACAGTAAGACTGCCATGATAGACACATGAAATGTTCCTAACAGTATTGTTTATGGTAGCCAAAACATAAAAGTGCCACTAGCAGTCAGGTGGGTGGTGGTGCACACCTTTAATCCCAGCACTCAGGAGGCAGAGGCAAGTGGATCACTGAGTTTGTGGCCAACCTGGTCTACAGAGCCAGTTCTAGGACAGCCAGGGCTACACAGAAAAACCCTGTCTCAGAAAACAAACAAAACAAAACAAAAAATCAACTAGAATGTACCCAAATAGCAGAATGAGTAAACCTGTGCACTTCTGCAGCAAACTACTGCACAACAAAGAAAAAGATAAGCCACAAGTGACAACGTGACAGATCTGACCTACATATAACATCATCAAGGAAAGGAGGCTACAAAAACATGAAATTCAAGAACATGCAAATAAAATCCATGTATGGGAGGCGCATGCCTTTAATCCCAGCACTCGGGAGGCAGAGGCAGGCGGATCTCTGTGAGTTTGAGGCCAGCCTGGTCTCAGTACTATAGTTGATGTGTCATTTCCAATCTGAGGCTAATAAAATGATTTAATAAGCAGCCTCATACAAGGGATAGGATAGCCACACTTGCAGTTACGTAAATAAACTGCCATTCTGACAAATTACCTTGCCCCATCTGGAGCCATAATAGTCCTCCCACTGGCCCGGCCCACCCTGTGCTCTGACAAGTCTCACCTGATCAAGTTTGGCATACCAGGTCCTGTAGGCCTTGTTTCCAAACCGGGAGGGCTGGTCCACCGGTGGGGTTTCATCAATCCACCTATCCAGCGTATTGAGAAGAGCCACCAGCTTCTCAATGGCCTGTGAAGGTGAGATAGAGGAACCACACCAGTGACTGGCAGCCCTGCTAGAGCCACAGAAGGAAGTCTCAATTGCTGTAGGAGGTGGCCCCTAGGCTGGCCTAGCTGTTATTCTCATTCTTAACTGTCCTAAATATGAAGGAGGGTCAGGGAGTAACCTTCCCTTCAGAGAGGAAATTACACTCGGCTGACAGACCAGTGTCATGGTTAGATAGGTACAAACCCCAGCCCCGACCTTTGTTAAAGCAGATGTGACTGAAGTCTTTCACTGAACAGCACGGATGTATGACAGAAGAGAAGAGAAATGCAGTGTGGGACATCATCTCTGTGCTAGTTAGACAAAGTTAGCACCATTTGGGAAAAGGGAACCTTAGTTTGAGGAAATGTTCCACTAGACTGGCCTATTGGGCAAGTATGTGGCATTTTCTTGATTGATGATTGATAAAGGAGGGCCCAGCTTACTGTGGGCGGTGCTAATACTGGACAGGTGGCCTGGGTTCTGTAAGAAACAGGCTGAAGCTGGGCAGCGGTGGTGCAATCCTTTAATCCTTTAATCGGGATGAGACAAGAGGCAGTCGGATCTCTGAGTTCAAGGCCAGCCCGGCTGAGTAAGCCTTGAAGAATAAACCAGTAAGCGGTACTCCTCCAGGCCTCCACTCAAGCTCCTGCCCTGACTCCCCTCAGTGTTACACGGTGATGCAAGAGTTGCAAGGGGAGGGGCTGGAGAGATGGCTCAGTGGTTAAGAGCATTGCCTGCTCTTCCAAAGGTCCTGAGTTCAATTCCCAGCAACCACATGGTGGCTCACAACCATCTGTAATGAGGTCTGGTGCCCTCTTCTGGCCTGCAGGCATACATGCAGGCAGCATATTGTATGCATAATAAATAAATATTAAAAAAAAAGTTGCAAGGTGAAATAAAACCTTTCCTCTCCAAAGCTGCTTTTGGTTACGGTGCCCCCCCCCTTTTTTTAAAGGATTTTTCGAAGCTAGGGTTTCTTTGTGTAACAACCCTAGCTGTCCTGGAACTCGCTCTGTAGACTAGGCTCAAACTCACAGAGATCTGCCTGCCTCGGCCTCCTGAGTGCTGTGATTAAAGATGTGCAACACCACACCCTGCTGGTTATGGTGCTTTATCACAGCCATAGAAACACTAAGACAACCTTCATTGTCACCATGACCCATTCAAAACCCCGTAGAAGCATCCTTCTGTGTATGTCTCTAGGGCATTTTCTAAATGCTTTAACTGAATGTGGGTAGCATCACTCTACAGGTGGGATCCCAGGCTGAATAATTAGGATAAAAAGAGAAATCCAGCCGAGCACCAGCCTTCATCTCTACTTCCTGAGTGGGAATGCCATGTGAACAGCCACCCCACATCCCTTCAGCTGGTTCTACCTTACCTGCCATGGTGATCTGGACCTCAACTGCAAGCCAGAATAACCCTCTCCCTAAGCTGCTTCTTGTCGGGTACTGATCACAGCAATAGAAGTAACTAATACAGCCAGTAACCCTGACCTCCCCAAACCAACACCACCCACATCTGAACACCCTGGCTTGTTTTCTCTAGTGCTCCTCTGCTCAACACTCCAAGAACTAACTCCACAGGCAGACAGCCTTCCTCCAACACTACTAAAACAGCAATGAGCTACTTAGAGACCTGAGCTTGTCTTTTTCTTCCAAACATGAGGGAAAGAGCCTGCCACAAAGCAATGGGCTATACATAATGCCTGTAGACCCTGAAACTGGACAATGGACAAGTGCCTTAGCCTGTTCCTTTCCCCCGAACCTCATTTTACACCAGTGTATACACAGAATGCTGTGACCCCCTTAATGGTCCTCATTGTTAAATGTCTAGGCTTTCTTCATATTTCACTACCAGACACAGTACTGGTTCACATTTCTGAAGTGCTGTCTTGGTGCCAATCTGGGATTACTGTACAAAGCTTTGAGAGCTGGCAGCCTAAGAACCCATCTCTCCACGCCCCCCCCCCCAGCACCAGGAAGCAGAGTCACAGGCGTGGGAGGCACCAGCATATCAAATGCTGTTTAAAGAGGAATCAGGTCAGGCGTCCATCCACACGTTCCTTCAGGCACAGGTGTAGCTTGGAGAAACAAGCCAGGATTAAGGGCTGTAAGACTGTGGCAACTCAGACCAGGAAGCCTTGGGAAGCTAGGAGGCAGATTTTGTCTGTGACAATGGGAATGCTCAGCATAAAGGGACATCTCCAGGAGATCCTGGAACTGGATAGGGCCGAGGCTGTGCACCTGCAGTGAGGACTAGGGCTCCAGTGACCCCAGCTGCAAGGACTCTAGCTGTACAGCGTTACACTGGCCCCGAAGGCTGCTCTTCCCACCTCCTCACCTATGCTTGGGGCATGGAGGAAGAAGTGGCCTGTCGCTGAGGTGGTGGCTAGAGTGGCGTAAAGATGCCTTGCTGAAGTGCTGCCAGAGCCAGGCTCTGTGAGAAGCAGGTCACAGGAACTGCTGCTGAGTACAAACCAAAGCAACGGGCCTTGCAGGAGGGTGGGGTATCTTAGCCCCAGGAAGCACCAGGCTCCCTGGAGATCTCTGCTTGCAGCCCAGACAAGGCACTAACGGGGACAGATAAAGAATGTGGCTCCTAAGGCCAGCAGGAACCTGGACCCAGAAGCTAGCTCAGCTGGGTTAGTAAATAATTAAGAGACTCATAGCTCCTCCTTCTGCATCTACTGTCTGGCCAGCTGGGAGAGACGGGCTGGAGAGAGAAGCAATCCTGGGCTGGAACCACCCCACCCCACCCCAAAGCACAAAGAATAACTTGTGCCCCTCCTATCCCTATAGCAGTGTCTCTCTCTTTTTTTTTTTAAATATTATTTATTTATTATGTATACTATATTTATTTGTTATGTATACTATATTCTGTCTGTGTGTAAGTCTGCAGGCCAGAAGAGGGCACCAGACCCCATTACAGATGGTTGTGAGCCACCATGTGGTTGCTGGGAATTGAACTCAGGACCTTTGGAAGAGCAGGCAATGCTCTTAACCACTGAGCCATCTCTCCAGACCAGCAGTGTCTCTTGATTATACTTGGCAACTTCTCATTCTGCCCTGGCGGTAGAGGCACTCTGAGTTCAAAGTCAGGACAGCTACAGAGAAGCCCTGACTCCCTGTCTCCTCAAAACTCCCTGCTCCCCCCCCACAAAGAAACCCACAAAGGCAAAAGAAACAACAAAATAAGGTGTGGTATCAAATGCCTTTCATTCCAGAACTCAAGAGTCAAAGGTAAGAGGATCTCTGTGAGTTCAAGTTCAGTCTGGTCTACACAGTAAGATCCAGGCCAGGTAAGGCTATATAGAGGGACCCTGTCTTAAAAACAAACAAAAGTTTTCCTGACCCATCACCCTTTCTAAAAACAAAAACAAAACAAAAAAACAAGCAAACAACAAACAATACAAAATAGAAACCCTCTCCAGTACTAGCATAGGTATAATCTAAAAAAAAACTCGGGAGGCAGAGGCAAGCAGATCTCTGTGAGTTCGAGGCCAGCCTGGTCTACAAGAGCTAGTTCCAGGACAGGCTCCAAAGCCACAGAGAAACCCTGTCTTGAAAAACCAAAAAAAAAAAAAAAAAAAAAAAAAAAAACTTGTTGTCTTGGGTCTAGACAAACTCTCTACCTTGCTGTGGTTTGTACGCTGCTTCTGGTTGTATGGAAATCTCTAGCCTAGATCCCTTCACTCTCTCTTGAAAGCTATCTGTGCTGTACTTAAGAGGACATAGGAGCTCTGGCTGCTGTGCTGAGTGTGACAAGGAAAGCCTTATACACAGCCATGGCTACATGCTATGATTGGTACCTTCTGCTGCCCGACAACACAGGAAACTTCTGGGGACAAAATTGGCTATGGCTGTACACCCACTGAGGTAGGCACAGGGATGGATCCAGCTTAGGCAGTGCCCCAGCTAAAGCAAGAACATCTGGTGGAAAGTTAGAGCTGAGGGAGCTGGAGAGACAGACAGCTCAGAGGTTAAGAGCACTGCCTGCTGTTCCAGAGGTCCTAAGATCAATTCCCAGCAACCACATGGTGGCTCACAACCATCTGTAATGAGAGCTGGCCTGCAGGCGTACATGCAGACAGAATACTGTATACATAGTGAATAAATAAATCTTTAAAACAAAGAAAAGAAAAGAGCTGAGTGAGCCTGAGTGAACCTGCTGACGTGGAGCTAAGAACAGCACACGATAACCTCTGCACATGGGATCCTAGTGGCTCCCCACCTCATGTTCTACACCCTGAGGGCCCAGCCACTCTACAGAGGGCAAGAAAGGACAAGAAGGAAGGATTATAGGTGATGAAAACCTATAATCCTGGTACTTGGAAGGCAGAGGCAGGAAGATCACAAGTTTGAAGGCAGCCTAGGTTACCCAGTGAATTGGAGATAGAGATACGATTTAGTGTAGTGCTCTTGCCTAGTGTGTGCAGAGTGTTAGGTTCTGTCCCCAGCACTAACAAAAGCTGGGCAGGGTGGGGGGGGGGCAAAGCCACTCAGCTGGGAGGCGGTGTGCTGGCAAACCCTGAAACACAGTATGATACTGCCAAAAGAGCAGCCCTTCAGTCAAGGCAACACCTGATCAGTGAGGACTGCTCCCATAGAAACTCTGGAGCAACTGAGGACCCAAGGGGATTGGCAGCTCAGTCCTGGCTAGGGTAATTATGAATTCTCCTTTAATTAGCTCCCCTTGATGTTTCCAGCATACTGGGCACTGCTGAGCTCATCCTCCCTGTCAGTCTATATCCAAAGTCACAGTCCAAAAAGAGCCAATCCAGGGAGTCACTTATGGGCTAGCTCTCAAGGGCCAGCTGTCTCTCCTCAGTGCAGTCCTAGCTCCTATCTAGTAGAAAGAGCAAGACTATAGCACCCAGCAGTTGACCTGGTACGAGGGCTAAAAGAGGGCAATGCTAGCCTAGGACATATGAAGAAACTAGGCCAGGACAAGGCCAGACCTTACTCAATAGGCCCCAGCTGTAACTACAGGGCAGAGAGCCAAAGTGCTAAGAGGCTACTCAGCCACTGGTTGTCTGAGATAAGAGGCTCAGGGTGGCCCTGGGCCAACTGGGACATGAACCTAAGAGGCCACTGGAAACCTGGGACCTAGTACTGGGAGATGGCATTGCAACAGCATGTACAAGGAAGACTACACCCTCCAGTGGTAGAGGTGGCTGGCCATCTGTTCCCAGTCCATGCCTTTCCTGGAATCAAGTCTGTCTCTAAAACAACCAGAGTACCTATTAGAGAGGGGGATCCCCAAAGCAAGAGCCTGCCTGTGCTCTCTGCTCAGCATTTTGGCTAGGAATGAAGGTGAGGAAATGGCCCACAGATCTCCTTGTCAAATGCTCAGAGCAACAGTGCCCAGGGATACAGCTGCAGTCAGGACTGTTAAAACAAATGAGGGAACGTCTCAGCAGGGTGACCAGTTGTACCAACAGACAGGAGGTGTACCTGTGCACTATCACCAGAGTTGTCCTGGGAAGGTGTGGTGCTGGGGTTTGAACTCAGGGCCTAATGCATGTCAAGTATGTGTTGGATCTACTATAGAACTAGAACTAACCCTATTTTGGTCTCCATTGATGCCATGCGTACTTCCGCTAGAGATTGATACCATGCATGCTTCTGCTAGAGATCTCTGCAGAGAACTCTTCTACTAACTTAATTTTTTTTTTCCAGCTCTAGGCGTGGAACCCAGAGCTGTGCGTATGCTAGGCAAGCACTTGGCCACATCTCCAGCCCCTTCTGTCATCTTTAATTTCAAGCTTAATAAAAAATACCAATTAGAAAAAATACAGACTATAAAATTGCATATTTACCTTGCTTTTAGTTATAAATGTGATTTTATTCATAGATTTAAAACATTAGGAGTATGGGCCACAAATCTTCCGGCACTGTGCTGGGCAAATCATCGTCTGCATCAGCCTGCCATGGATATCACCCTGTAGCTGTAGCGGGACACTCCTTGCCTGTGCCTACCTCAGAGACTTTGTAGTCAAAGGTCAGCTTCTTCCCTTTCACACCTTCATTGAGGGTGAGGATAAAGCCAATGTAGTCAGCATAAGCCTGCCAAATGGGAAGAGGAGGGAAGGAAGATGGTGTCAGAAGATGGTAGCTCCACCCAGGTACCCCAGCTGCCCCAGCTCCCACTCCCAACTCAGTACCAGAAGTAGACAGCACCAAATACACAGGCTGCTCCATCAATAAAGCCAGCCATTCAGTGATCACAACCACAGCCAATTCCTAGCCAATGTCTACAGAGTGCTCACAATTGCTGTAAGTAGTTTCTTTACACAGTCCCACAGAAAGACACTATTGTCACCTGGGGAAGCAGCTTCTGAGAGCAAGTGTTTCTTCTTTATTTTACTTTCTTCCTCTGGGACACCCATGATTAGACATTAGAACAAACATTTGGCATCTAGATTGGGTGAGTCTATACTAGAGCCCCCCATAAGCCTGCAAGATGGCTTCCAGCAGACCAGGGGGATCATACACAGAAACTTTCCCCACACAAAACCAATCCCTTGTTCTAACCAGAGCCGGTGTTTGCCATGGACTGCAAAAGGTGGTGTTACAGTCGTTCAGACAAATAGCTAGTTCCAGATAAGAACAGTCTCTCAATTGGGAGGGTATGGACAGCATCTGGTGACATTTAGCAGGTAGAGTCAGCGTTAGAGCCTGCCATTCAAGGACTGCCTCCACAAGACTCAACAGTGCTGAGCTGAGAAACTCAGCCACAGAGCAACTAGGATGAATGGGATCAATTCATGGCCTCTGGGCAGCCGAAGGGACTATGGTGCTCATCCTGGTGAAAACTCAGAAAAGAACATGATATCCATCTGCAACTGTCAGAGGACAGGCTTGTGAAAGAAGGGAAGGACAGGTTCCTGTGACCTTTCCTACCCAATGGAGCAAGGCATACGGCTGCTCATTGTAAGTCTGGCAGACTTGGCATGGACAATCTGTCCCACAAGCAAGGGCCCTTGCGCCTGCCGTCTATGTAAATGACACTCTCCATGGCGGCTACAGACCTGGCATTAGTGCTGACTGGAGCTGGGCCCAAGGCCCTCTCTAAGAATTCCAAGTAGTCTTTCTTTTCCTCAGCTCTGGACTAGAAGACTAAGAGGCACAATTAGCTTTCTTCTGCCCACCTCCTGGGCTATGCAGCAGAGAAGGCCAGCCTACTGCCAGGGAACTGGATCTCAATTCCCAGCTATTTTTAGGGCAGTCATGTTCCTAGCCGAGGTATAGTCTCTTCTCCTCCTTTGCACTGGCTCCTATGTGTGTAGGTTCTTGCAAACAAGAATTCGGAGATTCATGTTCATTCAGTATAACATTAAAGGAGCGATGAATGTGATTTAACCAGAGTGGGACGCTCCAGACTTACCAGGGCCCCAGCCAGGCCTTCCTGATAAAGCAACTCTGTGGTCTGAGTGGGAGGGAGGAAGACAGCTACTTTCTCATCTCCCTCCTTAGAACTGACAGCTTGGGTGCTAAGAGCAGGAGTGTCGAGGGGCATATAACCCTGGGCTGTCTGGAAAGCTACCAATTAAAGAGCCTTAGATTCTCCCCCAGCTCCAACCCTCAAGTGTGGGCGTCACTCATACCTGAGACCGCTTCCATTTGCCCATATCTGGAACGGTGTGGATCTCCTTTTTTGGAATGATAAAGTTCTGAGTAGCTGGAGGGGTCTCCTCTGAAGAATCTGGACAAAGAAAATAAAAGGGGCAAAGTGATCAATAGTTCCTCCTCCCTCCAATCCCTCCTCTCTTTTTGGAGGCAAGGTCTCTCTGTATAGCCCAGGCTAGCCTATACCTCACTTTGTGGATCAGCCTGACCACAAACTCAGAGAGCTCTACCTGTCTTGTCTTTCAGGGGCATGATAGATCAAGGAGTAGGACACCACACACGGACCGCTCCCCCCCCCCTTTTTTCTTTCTTTTTTGTTTTATTGGGTTTTGCTTTGTTTTGTTTTTTTTTGTTTGTTTGTTTGTTTGTTTTAGATAGAGGGTTTCTCTGTGTAGCCCTGGTTGTCCTGGAACTCGACTAGTAGACCAGGTTAGCCTTAAGTTCACAGGGATCTGCCAGCCTCTGCTTTCCAAGAGTAAAGACGTGACACCACCATCGATGGGCTTCTCCTTTTACTATTTTGTTTTTCCTTCTTCCCCCAAACCATTCTTCCAAACTAACTAATGCCAAGTTGTTGTTTTTTTGGTTTGGTTTTTAATGTTTTCAAGACAGGGTTTCTTTGTGTAGACCTGGAACTCACTCTGTAGACCAGGCTGGTCTCAAACTCAGAGATCCGCCTGTCTCTGCCTCCTGACTGCTGTATGTAAAGGCATGAGCCACCACTGCGCACTTCTCTCTCTCTCTTTTTTTTTTTTTTTTTTTTTTGGTTTTTCGAGACAGGGTTTCTCTGTGGTTTTGAAGCCGGCTTCTCTCATTTTTAAAACAAGACTCCAGGCCAGGTGATGGTGGCGCACGCCTTTAATCCCAGCACTCGGAGGCAGAGGCAGGCGGAGCTCTGTGAGTTCGAGACCAGCCTGGTCTACAGAGCTAGTTCCAGGACAGGCTCCAAAGCCACAGAGAAACCCTGTCTTGAAAAACCAAAAAAAAAAAAAAAAAAAAAAAAAAAAAAAGAGTCCAGCCTTTGAGGCCAAGTCAAACCCACCAGCTTCCAGCCTTTTGCTTTACAAGGAGTGAAAACAGAGCAGGCCGATGCTGGAGAGGCATTCGGGGGATCCATGGAACCCACTGGCCAGAGCCTAGCTTAATCCATAGTTCCTGGTTCAGTGAGATACCCTGTCTCAAAAAACACATGAGGACAACAACCCAAAAACAACCTCTAACTGGACAAGACACTTAAAACAATAAAAGCAAGCCAGGTGGTGGTGTACGCACCTGTAATCACTGCACTTGTCTATAGTCTCAAGATATGGGAGGCTGAAGCAGGAGGATAATTATATACAGTAAATTCTCGGGCAACCTGGGTCTGTCAAAAAAAAAAAAAGAAAAGAAAAAGAAAAGAAAATCAAGTTGACCTTGACCTTTATACTTGATGGAATTTTGTTTGGATTTTTTTGGTTTTGGCTTTTTTTTAAAGATTTATTTATTTATTATATATACAGTGTTCTGCCTGATGTACCCCTGTAGGCCAGAAGAGGGCACCAGACCTCATTACAGATGGTTGTGAGCCACAATGGTTGCTGGGAATTGAACTCAGGACCTTTGGAAGAGCAGCCAGTGCTCCAAACCTCTGAGTCATCTTTCCGGCCCCCTGTTTTTTTTTTGTTGTTGTTGTTTTTGTTTTGTTTTGTTTTTGGCTTTTTGAGACAGGGTTTCTCTGTAGTTTTGGAGCCTGTCCTGGAACTAGCTTTTGTAGACCAGGCTAGACTCGAACTCAAGAGATCCGCCTGCCTCTGTCTCCCGAGTGCTGGGATTAAAAGCGTGCACCACCACCCAGCTTTTGTTTTTGAAGACATGGTTTCTCTGTGTAACAGTCGTGACCGTCCTGGAACTCCCTCTGTAGACCAACTACAACTAGCCTCAACTCACAGAGATCCGCCTGCCTCTGTCTCCCAAGTGCGCCACCACCACCCACGGCCTGCCTTCTTCATAGCTTTTAAAAGGAACCTGTATCACAGGCATAGGAACAAGTGAAGAACACTCACAGTTTGTAGTATAATCTCATTCTTGTACAAGCAGCTCACACTTTGCTGGGTTAAACAGCAAAGTTCCTGATGGTCATAAAAGATTTATGCTTCCCCAAATCCCCAAAAGCCTAAAAAAAATCCTAAATTGTTGTTTTTTTCTTTTTTTGCTTATTTGTTTGTTTTGTTGAGACAGACTTTCTCTGTGTAGCCCTGGCTGTCTTGGAACTCACTCTGTTGGTCTCAAACTCAGAGATCCACCTGCCTCTGCCTCCCAGTGCTGGGATTAATGGCATGTGCCATCATTGTGTGGTCCCAAAATAAGTTCATAGACTAATATGAAGACATTCATAGGCTTTGTGTCTCCTGCTTAGTGAAGGCATTTATATACTGTTGAAATAATTTTGTTTGGTTAGGACTGTACCTCTGTAAACACACCTGCTGCGGGTTTCAGAGTGAGCTCAAGCCCGAGTCTGCAATTGGAGACATGGTGGGTCAGTGAGCTGCAATTAATAATGCAGCTCTCAGGAAGGTGAACAAGGCTCCACATACAGACACCTGCCCTGCTGCCTTCCTCTAAAACCTGCAGGGAGTAAAAGTTGCTGCAGCAAGGACAGAGCCTTCCAGGAGATGCTGTGAGGAAACTGAAAGTACCAAAGGACTTGAGGCCTAAGGGGAAAGTTAGAAAGTGAGGTACGAGCAGGATAAACTCCCCAGACTTAGGACTCAAAAGTAAAGTGGAAGGTGAAGGAAGGGAAAAGGTCACGCAAGAAGTCCACAAGCTCCCCTGTCCCCTACTCCTCCCACCCCACACATATACTGTTCCCAGAGCCCCACCCCAGCCCTTCCTAATAGTAAATTGCTACTCCAAGTCAGATGCTAAATAAAAAGCTTTGAAGCCAATCTGGTGAGGAGCCAACCACAGTTTATGGGGCACATTTTATGAGGAATGTCTTCCCATTGCAAATAAACAGCCTGCACATATCATCTTTGGGACCCAGGCCTCTTGAAAGAGACCTATCTATTCCCTGCAACAAACTGCCCTCCAGACACTATTTCACAGAGGAGAAGGCCTCCAGGCCTGGCTACAACCCCAAGAGCAGAGGCCACGTTATATGAAGCAGAACAATAAGTCCCTGAAGAAACACAGTCGACAGAATACACATTTCCAAATCAAACAAAATCAAAAGCAAAGAAAAACTAATAAGGCTGCGGAGAGAAGAGTACAAGAGAGAGCACACCCACATCTTCTCTCGCCGCAGGTTGTCTCTGACAAAGGATTCAGAGACAATGGACAGTTTAAGATCAAAACATGAAGAGTTTTACAAATGTTCCTTGAAAAAACCCCAAAAGTAGCCCAGGTGCAGTAATACATCACTGCAGTTCCAGCATTCAGTGGATGGAGGCAGGAGGATCCCCAATTCTAGCCAGCCTTAGCCACATAATAAAACCCTGCCCCAAAAGCCTAAGAGTTGAGCACTGTGGCCCATACCTCCAACCCCAACTCTCGGAGGGGAAGAAAAGAGGATCAGGTACTCAAAGTCATTCTTGACTGTAGGATGATTTCCAGGGCAGCCAGGGCCAATGGCCTTGTATCAAAAGTGCGTGCTGGGTGAGTTCTGTTCCAGTCTGGTCTACACTGTGAGTTCTAGTCCTGGAAAAGTTCTATGTGTGTGGCATGTGCAGAGAACACAATCTTCCTGGAGAAATTTGGAGATACACAGTGATACCTGTATCAAAACAAACAAAAACACCTGCAATGCCCCCCAAGAGTGTGCCTGGACTATCACCTCCCATTTGGATGTGACATGTTTACCTCCACTGTTTACCGCCACACCCCACGCTGCTTACATCTGACTGCCCACATATTCCATGAGGAAAGTTGGATTACCTCCTTTAAAATTACATTTCTAGAGCGTGAGCGTGCGTGTGTGTTCATGCACGTGTGTGGATGTCTGAGGCGAACAAGCAAGATTTAGTTCTATCCTTCTACCTTGTGGGTTCCAGGGATCGAATTCAGGTCGCCAGGCTTGGCAGCAAACACCTTTACTTGCTGGGCCAGATATCCTTATTCTCAGTCTACTAAAGGACACAGAGGTTGTGACTTGCCATTTTAGCCTGTGTAACTCCAAACTTTCCAGAATTTCTCACCAGTTAATAATGTAAAAACTCCTGTTTGGGCTGCAGGTGCTACTCTCGTAGCTTTATGGCTGCCCTTCATAGGTACTCAAATCTATTTCATTTCTAAAACATAAGTTAAAACTGATAAAATTGATTTTAAAAGTTAAATACTCCTCTGGGCATGATGGCACACACCTTTAATCCCAGCACTCAGAGGCAGAAGCAGCAGATCCTTGTAAAAGTGATGCCAATGTGGCCAAGGTACACATATAGAGTGAGACCCTGCCTTCAAATGCATAAATACTATTTCAGACTTCAAAAGGGGCTGCTTCCAGAGACTGTGTCTTTCCCGAAGTCACAGATCTCCTTCCCAAGGTTTTCGTTTTGCTTCAGTGCACAGGTTCTGGTCCCCACAGCGCTTCCCTGTCTTCGGGGACCCTCGTTCCAACATAAGTCTGCCTGCTTGTAACTCCCAGCTCCTGCCGTCATCTCCCCAACTCACTAGGGCACATCCACAGAGGTTTGGGCATAAATGTCTGCTTTTGAGGTCCACTGTGCTCATCGCTTTCTCTCGACTGAGACTTTCTTTGGGACCACAAAACATGAAGCGTGGCCGAAGGGTCATGAAACGCTTTCAAAACATGAGTTGTGTTTAGCCAAACTATTCATTCTCTAAGAATTTTCCGGGCCTTCTTAACTGCACAGAGTCTGCAAACTGCTTTCTCCTCCTTGCGATAAACTACAATGAGGCACCGCGTAAATAAAAGTCACAGACGGTGAAGATACCCACCCGTTCATCTTGCACAAACAGCCTTTTTAAATTAGTGGTTTAGACACCAAGGGTAGTTTCTCTCGACTCCGCAGATACTGAAACCCCCGGGGGGGGCGGTGATGCAGGGTGGGCAGGGCATGGACGAAGCTGGCGTGCGAACGAGGCCCAGGTCCACTCGAGCAAAGTCTCATAAAGAGGGCAGCCTCCTAGACCCCGCCTCGCCCCGGCCCCAGGCATCTTTCACCCCAGCACGCTCGGCCCTGCCCGGCCCTCGGACAGCCCCGGTCGCCCTCCCCGCCACCCACCTCGGCCCCGGAGGCCGGCAGCTTCGCCTCTAACGCCTCTACATCTCCTCACACTCCTGAGACACCCCCAGCCACACCCCTCTCCTACCCGCAGGCCGGGGCCCTCCAACCGCCCTACCTGGCGGCGGCTGCCGCTCGCCCTCAGCCATCTTCTCCGTTAGGAGCCGGCGCGGATGCTCGCAGTTCCCGCTCAGCGTTCACCCCGCACCTTTCCCCGGCTCCACTAAGCTTCCAGAAGGTAAATGAGCGCCGGCCGGCTACGACCGGAAGCCGAGAATTAGAGTCACTCTCGTGAAGGCGGCAGCCATGCCAGTGCGGGGCACTCAGGGAGCATGCTCAGCAACTGCCGTCTCGCGGCCGCCCAGCCGACAGGCGGCAGCGGCCATTTTAGTGCGGGGCGCCGGGAGCATGCGCACTAACGGCTGCCGCCCGCAGGCCAACTGCAGGTGTTGCCGCCATATTTGTGCGGGGCATCCGGCTTCAGGGTAGGGTGGGTGGAAGTGGCAGCCATATTTTTGCGGGTCAAGGCCACCTGTCATCTTTGTGACTGGCACTGAGCCTAGCCCAAAGAACCTGAGACCGTCCCCTGCCAACACAGTTATGTTTTCCTGCAACTCGAGGCGTGACGTTCAAGGACACCAGTCGGACTTGCTGGACGCCCGCAACCGCCTCGACAGCCTAGGTGGCGTTCGGAGGCGGAGAGCGCGAGCTGGACTCTGGCCACCGTTGGGACCCGAGAAGGCGGCCCGGGGGCTGGCGGCTAACGGCTGACCCGGAGACCCCGGCGCCGCAGGCCCCGCCCCCCGCGACCACGTCCAGGCTTGGCCCCGCCCCCGGCTCGCGGGTAGCGGCCCAGGACCGCGACCCGCTGAGGCTCCGCCCCGTGAGTCCTGCTCCACCGGCCGCCCGCCCGGCCCGGTGGGCGCGGGGCCGCCTCTCCTGGCTGGCAGCGGTGACTCGGTGACCTTGAACCTAGAGCCCGAGAGGGGAACCCACTGACCCCATAGAGGCACAGACTTTGCCCAGCGCGAGGGGCGGAGCGGACCTTGTGTCCGCACACAGGCTGGGACGATGTTGGCCTTTGCTGCCAGGACCGTGGTGAGTATGCCCGGGAAGGTTCGGGACAGGGGAAGGCGGGCGGGCCGCGGGCTGTAGGGAGATGACAGTCCAGAATCCCCACACCGGCTGATAGGGTGCCATCTGCAAGGTGGGCAGAGTAGAGCGACCAGGTGAGGGTCGGGATCAAAACCGAAACCTCTGGTGCTCATTGTCAACGACCCAAGAAAAGCCTAGGTTCAAATCTTTTGCATCTTTACACCCCATCCCGCTCCTCCTTCATGCTTTTGGGTATTCTGATTCAGACATCCGTCGGGAGCTCCTGGCTAGGACTCAGCCTCAAGCCTGGTTGTCCTTGCCCCCACCAGAGCCACTTTTCCAAGCCTACCCAGTTGGTCATTCTCCTTGAGTTCATCAGGTGCTCACCTTCCCCCACTATATGTGACTAAGAGAACTAAGGGGGAGACTTGTACTGAAAGTCCCCGGAACAGAACGGCAAGGAGCTGGCAGGCAGCCCTTCGCCTTCCTTCCCCAATGCTGCTGTCCTGGTGTGAGCTCCTTTTCTCTCCGATTCAAACTATCTGTATGGCTGCAAGCTGTGTCTCCATCTCAGACACTGGATTGGCAACTAAAGGTACCCATAACAGTTCAGACCAAGGCTCTTCTAGTGGCACCTGAGAACTGCCTTGCCCTTTTCCAGAGCTATACACCACCCCAAAAGACTGCTTTTACATCATCCTCTGGGACGACCGTATTGGTACAATCACTTTAATGCTAGCAAAACTGTAGCAAGAAGACGACAATCACATCCCACGGCTCTGCTAATCAATTTAGCCCAATATCCAGATGAGGGTCCTTTGGCTTATTATTCATACCAAAAGTACTCCAGCCCCCAACACACCCACACCCACACTTGTGATCGCAACCTGAATGATCTAGAGCTCAGGAAAAAAATAAAATAAAATAAAAAAAATAAAAAAACAGATTTTGGTAGAGGGTGGCCACCAAACGCCCCTGGGCCTAGAAGGGAAACAGGTTTGTAGCAATCATTGTCCATTAGTCGCCCTTTCCTGCCGGCTTCTGCCTTGCATAGTCCCAAACAGGGCTGATTTCAGGGCCACGGGTAGGCAGCCAGGCTGTTTCCACCCTCCAGCCAAGTTTTCCCACATCAAAAAGATCTACGGAGATTTTGACAGGTGGATTTTTTATACCTTTTGGCTTGCCTTCCTGGCACTGGGCCCATCCAAAGAAGAAAGGAGAAAGTCCCAGGTTTCCTCCTACTCCACTCACCAGCTACGGAGAAGTGAAGGAGTAGCTGCTGCGACCCTGTAGCCACCACGGCTGCAGCCTTAGATGCCACCATATCCCTGGCTACTGCCTCGCTGCTCCTCAGCCCTAAAGTGTGGATCTTGTCTTCTCTTTCCAGCCCGGGCAGGTGGCTGCCTCTTGCTAATTTCCGCTCATCCAGTTGGTAGTGCAGTTAGGCTTAGAGATCCAGCCAAGGCAGACAGACAGGGCTCACATCCTCAGTCCTGCCATGGAGGACGAGCAGCAGAGAGAGAAGGTATGGAATGGAGCTTCTGCCGCTTGCCTGCCACTGTGCCAGCAGCCTGGGGGACCTTCCTGCCTCGCTTCCTGCCACCTCCAGAGGCTCCTGGACTCCCCCTTCTCTCTCTGCTACCTCTCACCCTCCATGCCAGGCTACTCCGCTCTCTTGCTGCCTCGCCACCCCATGTCCCTTATCATCACCCCACAGTGAAGAGAAAGCCCAGAGCCTAAAGCTTCACCCAGAAGTGCTGTCACTGCCTGAGTCTCCTGTTTCCGATTCCTTACTATTTCTCAAACTGGAAGGGGGTGAGGAGGGGAATTGGGACCTCTGCTTAGAGAGCCAGCGGCCACCTCTTTGCTGACTAACTTATCTGCCCAGGGAAGGAAGGATAATGGGTCTTGTGCATCCTGATAGGTGTGAGGCCCCCTTACCTCTGCCACCCCAACAATGTCATTTATCCCCGCCCCCGCCCTTTCCTAGCCTCCCTGTATCCCTAGGCTCCTGAGAGGTGGGACTCCTCTACCTGGAGGGCTGGACATCCAGGGAAGACACCACCCATTCAGCTGTCTTTGCCCCAGAGATGGCATATAAGCACCTAGGACTGTAGTTTCTGGAGAGCTGAGCTTCACTCTGAGAGAATGAATAAGCTGTTCTGGTTCCCTCAGGTGAAGCCCCTGGGCCTCCTCAAGCCCTTCTCCCTGATGAAGGTTTCTGGTCGCTTCAAGGCCCACCAGGATGCACTGCCGAGACTGCCCGTGCCCCCACTGCAGCAGTCTCTGGACCATTACCTCAAAGCACTGCAGCCCATTGTGAGTGAGGAAGAGTGGGCCCACACCAAGCAACTGGTGGACGAATTTCAGACCTCAGGGGGTGTAGGGGAACGCCTGCAGAAGGGACTGGAGCGCAGGGCCAAGAAAATGGAGAACTGGGTAAGTGAAATGGCAGTATCTTCATAGTCTCCCAGGGGCCCCGGGTCCTCCAGAGCACCCCTCAGCTTGTTTGTTGCTGGCTGCATGCCCACAGTCTCCCCATACCAGTTGTTCTGGCATTTTTATTTGTTTGTTTGGCAGAGTAATTACCATCAGCAAGTGCAGGGTGGGCAAGAAGGACCAGGCTGCAGCCTCAGAGCTGATGTTCAGTCATGGGGGAGGGGGAGAAGGGTAGAAACAGGATTGTAAATCAGTAGGTGACGTCATGGGTTGGTTTGTTTTGGGTTTTTTTTTTTTTTTTTGGTTTTTGTTTGTTTGTTTGTTTGTTTTGGTTTTTTGAGACAGGGTTTCTCTGTGGCTTTGGAGCCTGTCCTGAAACTAGCTCTGTAGACCAGGCTGGTCTCAAACTCACACAGATCCGCCTGCCTCTGCCCGAGTGTTGGGATTAAAGGCGTGCGCCACCATTGCCAGTTTGTTTGTTTGTAGTTTTCAAGACAAGGTTTCTCTGTGTAGCTTTGGAACCTGTCCTAGAACTTGCTCTGTAGAACAGGCTGGCCTGAAACTCACAGAAATCTGCCTGCCTTTGCCTCCCGAGTGCTGGGATTAAAGGCCTGCTCCACCACCACCACCACCGCCCGGTACATGGAGTTTAAAGGTCATGCTGGCTGGGGTTGCAGCTCTGTGGTATAGCACTTGCCTAGCATGTATGAGAGCCTGGGTTTCTGTCCCAGGGCTGAAGAGAGAAGAGCTAGAGACACGGAGAGCACTGTCTGTCAGGGGAGGACAAGGGGAGAGGGTGTTGGATTTGAGGACATAGGTAGCAACAGTATGGCCTGCTTTGGGGTCAGAGCCTGGGCCAGAGTGTTCAGAGCAGGATGGACAGAAAGGGTGAACGAATGTAGACTTGAGCTTGGTGGCACAGCCTGAGCAAGGGATTTGTGTCACCCTGAGGTTGCTGTACAAGCTCCTGGTTCTGTGTCTAGTCAGTCAGATTAGTTCAATTTCCAAAACACAGCTACACTGGTATATGGTATATATTTTTATAATCACATTGTACACAAAAGTTAAAAAAAAAAAAAAAAAAAAAACAGCCTGGTCTACAGAGCTAGTTCCAGGACAGGCTCCAAAGCCACAGAGAAACCCTGTCTCAAAAAAAAAAAAAAAAAAAAAAAAAAAAAGTAGCTCCAGCTGCCAGGAAGAAAGCAAGAGCAGGAGCCAGAGGCAATGAAGAGGCCAACGTCTTCCCCTAGAGGAGATGTTGATGGCCTGGCACATGGAGGTAGGGAGTCATAAGGCCCAGGACTCAACAGCATTTGCTGATGCAGTGGGACTGGTGGGTGGGAAGTTCCCTTTCAAAGCAACTGGGAGAAGAAGGTCCCAATATGAAGCCCAAGGAAGAAGCTGGCTATAGGGGAGGGACACAGCCTGAGCTGGGTGGAAGTCACCCTCAGTATCCCTGGGGCATTGGTTCCATGGCCCTGCAGATACCAAGATCTACAGATGTTCAAGTCCCTTAGGTCGTTCAGTGTTTCTGTGTCACTAAAAAACTGCCCCCGTGGACCCTGAGTCATCCGGTGTATATCTAACACGCCACAAATGCTGCTAAATAAGTATACATAGTTAAAGGATAATTGTCAAAAAATAAAGGCCTCCATATATTCTGTATCTACAGATCCATCCAGCCTATGTGTTCAGTATAGATGCATTTTTTTGTTTTTCAAATTCTCCACCTAGGCTGGATGGATCTGTAGATACAGAATATATGGAGGGAGAACCCCAGATCTGGGCTGACTGGGGTAGGAATTGGGAAGTACCTTGGATGGGTGGGCCTCAGCGGTAGAAAGTAGGAAGTAGGTGAA